TATACACAAACTGAAACAATAGAGTATTAGCATTGGCCCGTGCAAGGATGACACGCAAACTCGTGAAGTATGCCACACTCAAGAAATAAATCCCCAAGGACCACGGGCTGAGGTTTATTGTGAAAATCTATGGGTGGAGGATGGGCTAGGGCAGGCTCTAGGAGGCCGAGTCAGAGGCCTCTGAGCTGTCCTTGACATCCGTGCTCTCTGTGGTCTCGCTGACCTCGCTGAGATCTTTGCTGTCCCCGCCACTATCCTCAGCAGCCAGGCCTTTCTCCTCACGACAGACCTCTCCTGAGCTTGGAAGCGAATTGCCTTTGCTCTCCACCTTGTTCTCAATGGCACCCAGGACCACGTGCCTGCCCTTTTCTTTCAGCTCCAGATGTCGCCTCAGCTGCCACCAGGAGCCCAGGGAGAAGCATGTAGAAAGAGAGAAGACATAAGACTGTAGTCAACAGGGCAAGGGAAGCCAGGTTCAGTCACTATGGGAGGGGCATAATGAGAGGCCAGAGCAGGAAGCCCAACCGGTGGGGAAGACCTTGCTTGAGTTCTGACTCTGCCCTTCTCTAGGCCTGTTTTCTCACCCATAAAATGAGTGACCGTGCCTCCCTCAAACCAGCCACTGGGAAACCCCCAAGATAACAGTGCCCTTTGAAGAGCCCTGTCCTCTAAGGAGGCATGGCCAGGACCCCAACTTTCTCCACAGCCCAGTTTGGTTTTACCTCTGAGCAGGCAAGTCACAGGTATTCCCTGGTCATCCCATTCCCCCTCTGGAAAGTCTCCCTCTGCACTTCATATCCCTCCTACAGGCTTGTTTCCCAGAAAACAGAATCTTGGATGGATGGCCTCTTCTAGAGCCAGCCAAGGCCAAGGTCCCCACTTGACCACTTAGGAAATGAAGGTAAAAGAGGGGCTCCAACCCCCAGCACTACAGCTGCAAGGACTGGCAACAAAAGTTGGTCTGGCTTCCAGCCTCCTCTGTCTCAGGCGTCCTGATAAGCCACCTTCCCCCAGCAGGACCCACCCCCCTTCACCTCCAGGACTGCTGCGGTGGCCAAGGTGGACTCTTACCTCATCAGCCATCTGGGTGAGGTCCCGCTTCATCGCATATGCATCTTCCCCATCTGCATAGTATTTGGGCTCCACTTCGCTGATCCTGGAGATAGTAAGAAAACCCAAACCTGGGGGCAAATTATCTTGGTCTCCTGGTATCATAGGCTAATGGATAGGTGTCATTTCTCCCTGAAGAATCCTTTTGGAGGCAGAAATCCCAGCAGAAAGGAACTCTTGCCCAAGAGCAGGCAGCACCCACTGCATTGACATCATTCACTACAGTCCTGCCACTGCCGAGCCCAGTCCAGCTACCAAGGTCTGTCTGTGGTTCCTCGTGAGGTTAAACCTGGGTTAGCCCTGTCCTTCCCTACCTGCTCTGCTCCCTGTCACTTACCAAGCACATAGCCAATTCCTCTGCCTAGCAAGAACAATGGGAACTGGGGGCGAGGGGTGCTGTGGCCTCTGTGAGTACTCTTCCCACACATTGTGGCCCCTGCCCAAGCAGCTTAGGGGGAGTGCCTACATTGGGAGGTGTGTATGCACACTCTGGTGGCCCTGCCACTGGAAAGAAAGCTGCACTCATTGGCCTGACCCCAGTCTGACTTTCAAGTACTTTCTGCCACTGTCTACTGAACACGTCCAGGTTCTCTTGCCCATGTTGGGCACATGAAGATTCCCACATCCTGAGCCAACTTGCCCTCATCCACCAGGATGCTCACAGTTCTAGGTCTCTTGGTGCTCTAGCTGGTGGCCCTTCCTTCCTGTGTCATCCTTCCTTCTCCTCTCAAAGATGGTTCCTAGTCACTTGGAGTCCTGCTTTTTCGTCTCTGTTCACGCCTGGGGACCATATCTATCTACTCCCAAACTTGAACAAAGAAGCCTCACATGTTCTTTGCCACAGTGACCTTCACCAACCTTGGCCAGTAGCAAGCTATCCCTCCTCCATCAGCAAGACATGCCAGATCACCCCCCCGCCCCCCGCTATCACAACATGCAGTGAACAGATATGAACAGGCAGGTGCTGTCTCCATGTCAGCAGCACAGAGTATGGAGAAGGACTCCTAGCAATGTCTGGAGTCCACAGCTGCCTGCCTCCCCCTCTTGGTCCCTCCCACATTGTGCCTGAAAGGCAGCTCAGCCCACTTCAACCAACTGGATGGGCCAGACCTGGGACCAGCCCCAGTCCCTCAGAAAAATCTAGATCTACTTACTGAAAGTTGAGGGTGTTGGAATAGAGGTGCAGGGCGGCCCGGTTACTGCAGGGGAATAAGGCACTGCTGAACTTGGCCAGGTAGGCGATGTCCAGGTCCTACCCCTCCCCCTGGTTCCCCCTTCCCACTGATCCTACTTCCCAGATTTCCTCCAAAAGGCTGAGCACCCTAGAACCTGCATCAAAATGTCGTCTCTTCTTCCCCCTCCCCCCATCCCTCAGCTTAGCTTCCACCTCTTCCTGACATGCAGGGAGACGTATTTGGCATTGAAGTTCTCTATCATGGCTCGAGAGGCCTGGTCCATCAGCTTCTGAGCCAGGCCAAGGCGCCTGTGGGAACGTTTCACAGCCTGGTGAGAAGAGGGTGGGTGGGGGAGGGATCTTAGTAAGATCTTAATGTAAGGGCTACCCCAACTACCCCCTGCTTCCTTGGTGGGCCCCACTCACCAGTGAGGTGATATGTCCATGAGGCACATCATCTGGGTCCTCTTCCCTAGAGGAGAAAGGAAAGAGCTAGAAAGGAGCCTGGTGCAGGCACAGCCACCCCCAAGCACCTGTGCACAGTGGGTGTTCAAACTACTTAAGGCTGGTCTTCTAGCACTCCAAGAGCCACGCTGGGGAAGAGCAGCCAGTAGTGCTCCCTGTACCCCACATTGACCAGATATGTGCAGTGTCAACACAATATTGTACCATGATAAAAATATATAAATAAAGGGCTGACAAGCCACAAAAAAGACAGGAAGGAACTTTAACTGCATATCATTAAGTGATAAAAACTCAGTCTGAAGAGTCTACAGACTGTATGATTTCAACTACATGACATTCTGGAAATGGCAAAACTGTGGATCTGGTAAAAAGATCAGTGGCTGTCAGGGGTTAGTGGGGGGGGGGGCGCGGGGGGGCGTTGCAGAGCACAGTAAAACAAGTCCTAGCCATATGTATAAGGCTGGGAGCTCACTGCACAGAAAGAACGGCAAGAATGTAAACTTTGGGCACTTAGTTAACAAAGTATCATTGTTGGTTCCTTACTTACAACAAATGTACCTAATGTAACATGTTAATAATAGAGGAAATGGAGAGTAAGGGATCTTATGGGAAATCTGTACTGATCTGCTTAATTCTTCTCTAAATTTACTGTCCTAAAGAACAGCCTATTTTCTTTTTTAAAACCTACACACATGAGCATCCATGAGACATAGGGACTGTTGGCCTTCCCCTCCAAAGTTTGTCTCCCACAGTCCCAGCACTAGACTTCTCTTCCTCCTTGGTGACTCACATTTTGGCCAGGACATACCCCACAATCTTCCCATTCTCATCCTCAGCAATGTAAGAGAGCTGGTGACAGAGAGGAAAAGGAAGTCAGTACACAACTTCATGTAGGAGCCCAAAGAACCCACAGCCCACCTCCTGCTATGTGCCTGACAGCTGGAAGTTGCTCAAGTGGTGAGTTCTGTGACAGCTTTTGACCTTTGGGGCAAGTCGGACAGTTTTCACCATACCACAGAGTGTCCTGTCTTTGACCCACAAGAGAAGAGACAGAAGGTAGGAATCCTGTCCCCACCCTGCCCCTATTCTACTTCTACGCTCCCTTCAGGCACCTCCTTTTCGTCTGCCCCTGCCCCCTCCAGCTGAGAACACCCCTACCTCAGACGACCACAAAGCCCTCGGGGCTCTTATGGCCTTGCCCACTGGGGCTGCAATTTCCTCGGCCTAGGGTGTCCTACTCCCAAATTCAAACTCTTCCCACCTGGGGCCAGGAGAGGCCATGGTAGAAGTAGTATTTCATCTGGTAGTTCTCAGGCAGGCAGAGGAGGTTGCAGTGCTGCATGTTCATCAGGTCCTCAGGCTGCAGGGGAGGACAGCGGGACGCGATCAGTTTAGGGCTGGGGTGACTAAGTAGGCCTCCGTCAGGTGAGAATCCAGCTCCCTGTCGGTGTTCTCGGCCTCCCCTCCACCGGGGCTGGGCAAGGCTGTGAATATCTGACTGCACAGGGCCTGGTCCACAGCCGCTGGTGCAAAACGCGTCAGTTTCAGGAAAGAGTGAGAGCCTGGAGGTTCCAGGAGTCCACCCTACCGGGTCCTGACATCACGCAAACAGGGGATTCACAGCCCTAAGCCCTGCGTCCCTGACCACCACTGCAGGCTGGTCCAGCTTCACGGTTCCTGCGGCTGCCGGCGCGCAGGGCCACAGGGCCAGGTCCCTCGGGAGCATGCGCAAGCGGCCACCCGGTCCGGCGCCCACGCGGCGCGGACAGTCGCCCGCCCCGGCTCCTCACCCTCGCATTGCGGATGTTCATAACGGCGGCGGGGCTCGCGGGTCCCTGCGGGTCGTGAACGCGCAGTCAGCTGCCACCGCGCTCCGAAGCGATGCAGGGGAGGATGAGGATGGGGCCGGGGCCGGGGCCGGGGCTGGAGCTGAGGAAGGGCTCGCGGGGGCGGCGGCGGAAGAGGCGGTGCGCTCCCAACCGGCCACCGGCCGGAAGTGCGCGGCTGCCGGACCCGCCCTCCTGGCCGCTAGGCCAATGTGTGGGGTGGTTCAGCGCGCGGGGTGGGCCAATCCTCGGGGCGGGCTAGTGTGCGCACAAGCCAATGAACTGAACAGACCAAAGCGCAGGGCGGGAGTGTGGGCGGGGCGAGGCGCCGGCCCGGCGAGGCGGTACCTGCGGGCGGCTGGATGCTGGCTAGACGCAGTGGCCGCCCCCTCCCGCGCACCCATAGACTCGCGCACACCGGCAGGTAGAACAGGCTCAGCTTTATTCCGCGCCTCAGGGGGCGGGGACAGCGGGCGGGGAGCAGGTGGGGGCGGGGACCGAGGCAAGGCGGCTCAGCAGAGCGCCCAGCATCTCCTCGCACATGGCTAGGCACCGCGGCACGTGGAAGCAGCCTGTGGGGAAAGGCGGGTGGGTTAGGAGGGCAGGGGGAGCCGAGTCCACGAGCCCCAGCGGCCCCGCTGTCCCACACTCACCTTTGAAAGGACCCCCCTTAATGGTGAGGGCGACCTTTCCCTCTCGATTTAGATAGCCAAACCACTCCCCATACTCGGGATCTCGAAACTGGAATAACAATGAGACAATGACAGCTAGAGCCGGCAGAACCTGCCTGGATGCCACGGTCTGAGTGCTCGGAATGCTCATCGTACCCGCTGCACCGCTGTGGGCGGGGGGGCGGGTCGGAGCCTCGGTAGACCCCAGGTATCATGCCTCCAGAATTAGTGGTTTTAACCGCTACAAGGCGTCCTGGACAAAGATGAAAGCCGGAGAGTGAAAGGCAGCAGGCCGTCTGCCCCTGTATAACTGGCTAAAGAAGGGTCTGCAGGCGAGGCGCTGAAACTATGAGATGGAATAAAAAGAACCCTACTCTGGAACTATAGTCTACACTCCATAGCTTGATTGCAGTAGTGGTTACACAGGTTTATTACATTGTTATAACTCCTTGAACTGAATCCTTAAAGTTGATACATTTTAGTGTATGTGAATTGTACTTCTGGTCAACCCACTTAAAGAAACTTGAGCCCGTTGTGGTGATGCACACCCATCATCCCAGTGGCAGGCTGAGACAGGAGGATCCCCAGTTCAAACCCAGCCTCCGCAGTGGCGAGGCCCTAAGCAACTCAGGGAAACCCTGTGTCTAAATGAAATACAAAATAGGGCTGGGGATGTGGCTCAGTGGTTGAGTGCCCCTGAGTTCAATCCCCAGTACCAAAAAGGGAAAGAAACTTCATGGGGGCTTGACCTGACAGGAAACTGGTTAACAAGTAATTCCCCTGTTCCCTGATTCAGAGGTCTGTGGTCCAGTAGTTGACTATGCAATCCTACACAGAGATCAGACTCCTGTCCTTGTATAATGGGTTCCAAATGCATCTCATCCTTTTTGTTCCTCTGCCCCTGCCCAGTATTCCACTACTTTCCATACAGGGAACAGCATCTCAGCTAGCTAAGCTGACCCATTCCCCCACTCCTGTCCTGCCTGCACCTCATCCAGCATCTGTCTCAAGGAGGTTTGTCAGTTCCTTACATACTCTCCAGGATAAATATACTACAAGGCCCTAGCCTAGGTCCATTTCTTTTTCCTGATAAGTGGAGACCCTTCTCAGAGGATCATAGAGCAAAACAATGATATTAAACTCTACTATCAAAATGTCCCTTTAGGAGTTAGAGGGTGTAGCTCAGTGCTTGAAGCACTTGACTGGTATGCAGAAGGCTCTGGGTTTGATTTCCATAACTGCAAGAGAAAAGTCCATTTAAATTGTGATCTATGAGTTCATGGCACCTGGTCAACATGGTGCACACCTGCAATCCCAGCAACTCAAGACAGTGAGGCAAGAGGATCTCAAGTTCAAGGCCAGTCTCAACAACTTGGGAAGACCCTGTCTCAAAAAGAAAAGGCACTGGGGTTGTGGCTCAGCAAGAGAGCACTTGCCTAGTACACGCAAGGCCCTGGGTTCGATCCTCAGCACCACATAAAAATAAATAAATAAAATAAAAGTATAAAAGAAAAAATAAAAGACTGGGGATATAACTCTGATAGAGTTCAATCCCCAGTACCAGGGGAGAAAAAGAGTTCATGGTGGGCTGGGGATGTGGCTCAAGCGGTAGCGTGCTCGCCTGGCATGCGTGCGGCCCGGGTTCGATACTCAGCACCACATACCAACAAAGATGTTGTGTCCGCCGAAAACTAAAAATAAATAAATATTTAAAAAAAAAAAAAGAGTTCATGGGAGTTAAAACTAATTCTTATCTATTCATTATTAACTTTTCAGTTATATTGCTCATGTCCCTATTGTTTTATGACTTGATGTGACACAGGAAGATAATGCCCAGCACCACACACAAATAAATAAACAAAAACCAAAAATGTAAGTAAAAACCTTCCTATTGTTTTTCTGTCCAGTTTTTCTTTTCCTTGACCATCCAGATTTTTGTTTTCTGTATTATGTTTCTTAGTGCATACTGATTTACATGTTCATTATGACTTTTGTAACTGTTTAATGTCATCTGTATCTTGTTCAAATGTGTCCTATTTCCTTTTATATTTATAACTGGTGGCCTCTAATCCATGCCCTTTATGAATACATTCAGTATTAAGACAAAGTCACAGGTCTAATGATTCCTACTATTTGGAAAGCCATAACAAGCATGTGAGATACTTGGAGATGCCTCTAACCACAACATAATATAAATAAATCTGGGATTCCCTTGCCTCCAGTCACAATGGCAGCAGTGCAAGATTTCAATTAGAGATCAGTGCACATAAAGTAATTTTTCTCCTAGCTTCCACAGCCCATAGACCCCAGGATAAGAGCCTCTGCTATGGTTCCAGGTTTATCATCAAAGTGATCATGCCTTTGGAAATGCATAACCAATCTTCATTCTTTCCCCACCACTTGGGCCTCTGGGGGACCCCTGACTTGGTTTCCTTACTACTTCATGACTGACTTTTGTTTCTTTGTTTTGTTGCCTCACAGCTCTCAGTATTAAATATCTGTAGCCAGCCCAGACCTCTCCCTCTGAATTACAGACTCAGAAATCCAAACGCAGCTCCACCAGCCTCCTTGTCTCAAGGCTGAGCAGGTCGTTCATGGTCCTGCCAGTCTTCTTATCCAGGTTGAGCCCTGCCTAGACCCTCTTTCCTCATACACACCCTGCCTTGCTCTATCCTCCATAGTCTCAGATCCCTGCCCCTGGAAACTTAGGCACTCCCCATTCTGCTACCTGCCATCTCTGCCACCTACCAGGGGCTTTCAAGGGACAAGGGGGCAGTACTCACCTGGCGGAAGGTGTACTCAGCCACCTGATAGAAGAGGTGTAGCAAGGCAGGGTCCCCACTGTCACTATAACCCATGAGGAAGGCAATCATGGCCTCACTGTGTGGCCACCAGAGCTTCATATCCCACTCCAGCTAAAAGTAGAGCAGAGGCAGGTGGCTGAGAGCCCTGGTCACCTGCATCCCTCTCAGTAGGGCACTCATCACTCATCCTCTGGTCCCAGCTCAGTTTCCATCTGACACTTGGAGTTTAATTGTGAGATATCTCTGGGAGGCTCAGAATGGCCCCTCTGACAGGGACATACCCCAAGAGACCCCTTAAAAGGACAAGTGGAAGGACAGGCTCCCTTTTAGCCCTTGAATCGAAACCCTGTCCCTCTTGTTTAGGTGTCTTTAAGCCCCTTGGACACTGTTCCCACCCATGGTCAGCACAGCCACCCTCAGCAGTCAGAAGGCCACAGCACCAGGGAGCAATTCAAGAAAGCCTTAGAAAGGAGGCTAATCGTGTCCCTGGGAGCGCCAACCTGGGTAGGGCAGAGGTTGTCAGCATCCTGGAAGTAGAAGAGGCCTCCATGCTCAGGGTCCCACCCAGAGTGGAAAGACAACAACAGGAACTTCTCTATGACATGAGCACGAAGTTCAGGATTGCCTTTCCTGAGGGCATGACGAAGCAGGAACCAGCCAGCTTCCAATGCGTGGCCTGGGGAGGGGTGGAGTAAAGCAGCACCAGACCCTCCTCAGGCTTGGGGGGAGGTCAAGCCCCCCCTGGCACTTCCCTTCCTCCCTCCCTAACCCTTAGAGCCTTGTATTCTGCCCCCAAGGGATAGTCTGCTTTTCAGCCTTTCAGGCCTGCCTGAACCCTGCAACCTGGCAACAAGCTCCCCTGACTTATGCTCCTGCTGTCGCCAATGTCCCAGCACCAGAAGACCAGTTCTCTCTCTGCTCCTCTGTAGAGGGTGGCAGAAGGCAACTCCCCTTACCTGAAGCCTCAAGCCTGAGGTTGTCCCTTCCTCAGGCTCAGTCGATTCTGCCCCCTCACCTGGGTTCTGGTGTCTCCCCAAACAACCAGAGAGTTCTTTGCCATCCTCTGACACGTTCTCCAGCACAGCTTGTCCATCCCTCTGCAGGGGAAGGGGCAGGAGAAGCCAACTCTATCATCTAGCTCCCAGCCCCAAGTAACCCCTCCCTCCCACCAGCCTAGTCACCCACTTGATTCACCCCCATAGGCCTCCAGGTTCTAATCCTGGCCACAGGCCTGGGCCTCTTGAAGGGGAAGTGTGAAACATTGAAGGGGACTGACAGGGCAGGCATGGATGCCAGCAGAGGATGGGGTGGGACAAGGGTTAAGTCTGGGTTTCCAGCTCAGGGGCTCTGGCTCCCTTCCTTCAGCCCTTGGCCACACCCAGTTCTCTGCCAAGTGACATGCTTGGGCTCTACCTTCCCAAGGGCTCTGGGCTGCACTTCCCCTAATAAGCCTCCCCAGGTCTGACATTTGGAGTTTAATTGAGATATCTCTGGGAGGCTCAGAATGCCCCTCTAACTGGGATATACCCCAAAAAACCCCTTAAAAGGACAAATGGAAGGACAGGCTCCCTTTTAGCCCTTGAATCAAAACCCTGTCCCTCTTGTCTAGCTGTCTTTAAGGCAGAAGAATCACCCCAGGTAGTGGGAGAGAGTGTGTCATACTGCCCCTCACACACACACCTGGACATGCTGCAGAATCCTCTGGGCACACCAGTCTCCCAGCTCTGCATATTTGCCTGCCAGCTCCTCATCTGCCTCCCCAAGCTGCTCTACCAGGTTGAGTAGCATCATGGGCACTGCCATGGACTCTGCAGCCGGAGTCCCTGGCAACTGGGGCCGACCAAGCCCTGATGAGTCCTCTCGTACCCAGTGGATGATCTGATCCATCATTTCCACTGCTTCATTCTGCAGGAAATGGAGGTGAGAAAAGGAAGGCCCAGGTGAAGGCTGTATTGCCTCTGACTCAGCTGTACTGTCCCCTAGGAACCTGTAGGGTCCTGAGGATTCAGCCCCCTGGTGGGAAGGTTGTGTTCTCTTCTGCACTCCAAGGACACCTTCTTCAGCTCTGCTTTAGTACTAGCCTAGGGGCCTGGGGAGGAGGTGAAGGACCCCTCCCAGCTGCACCCAGGGTGTGGATCAAGCCCTCTCTGCCCCAGGGCCCTGTGGTGATACAGGAGGTGGGGCTCGGAGGTGGGGCTCAGAGGAGAAGAAGACTTGGGCGGAGGGAAAAACCCTTAGATATGATGAAAATACATGCAATAATACAGGGCTGGAGCAGGCCCAGGGCAGGATAGGATTGCATGGGACACATATAGCAGAGTTCTAGGGCACCTCTTCAAGGTGCACCCTTAGATCCATCCTCCCACAGACCTGGTAACGCTCTTCCCCTGTCACCCTCCACAGCTCATTCATGGCCATGGTGTAGAAACACTCGCTGAAGATGGTCCTCTGCACCTTGACAGGGAGGCCACTCTGAGTCAGCACAAAGGCACACTTCTTGTCAGGAGGTGCCACCCGGGCATAACGCAGCAAAAACTCGCCACCTGGTGGTTAGGGAGTTGGCAGGGGAGGACTCAGATGAGGACCTTCACTAGATCCTTTACTGCTTGTAGACGGCTCTAGTAATGCCCCCATGAGCCTTATTGAGTAAACATGGATGAGGCCCCTGGGGAGATGGGGATAAGAGGAGGCACCTGCTTTGGCTGAGTCCAGAAGTTCAGAACGGCGGAAGCGCTGGAACTTGCGGTACAAACGACAATACATCCATACCTGTGGGGGAACAGGGCAAGTAGGGAGTGGCTTGGGTGAGGGGGAGGCCTAGATTTTCCTATTGTGGGAAGAAGACTGTTGAAATGACAGGCCTGTGTGGACTATCAGGAGGGGCCCAGGGGCTCAGTGTGAGCCATAAGGCTGGGAACACTCCTACCTGTCTCCCCTGCAGCCAGACATATTTGAGGTTGTCATACACCTGCCCATCTCGGCCCAGGCATGTGAAAAAGCCCCTGTGGGACACAAAGGGGTTAGTGAGTGGGGAGGAATCTCACACCTCTACACACAGATGCAGGCCAGGCTGGGGCCATTGGATCTGTGAGTTGCCTTTGAGTGAGGTAGAGGCTTGAGAAGGGCAAACACCCTGCTGAGGACACCGGGAGGGCCACGCACCCATGCTCCTGGTCGTGGGAATGCTCCATCCAGAAAGCCACTACTCGGTCCAGCTCCTGCTCCATACGCTCCTTCCAGGCTCGCAGAGTCTCCCACTCCTTTTCCATGTCCTGAAGGGGGACTCAGGGGTTGAAGGCACAGCGACCCAGGAGGATTTCCCAATCCCCCTGGGTCTCAGTTTCCTCAGAGGACTTCAGTGGACCCCAGAGCTCCCTGACTCGTCCCCCCATAGAAGGCGAAGCTCAGACACAGCCTCGGGGCTTCCCCACCACTACCTCTGTGCTGAACTTCTGACCCCACCTCCGCTGGGGCCCTCTAGGACAGCACCTCCCCATCAGTCCCACCACTAGCCTGTTGCACTCGGAGACCCCCGCTCATCACCCTCTCCTCCAGGAAGCCAGACGGAGCTGGTAGCGGTCCCGTGACTGTCACTCAGCTGACCGAGCTGTGCCCCACTCTCCCGCCCCTTCTTCAGGTTCCGCTGGGCCAGGGGGCGGGGCCTGAGGCGGGGCGGGGCCTGAGGCGGGGGCGGGGCCTGAGGCGGGGGGGGCGGGGAGTAGCTCCGCCCCCGTGCTCAGCCCTGAACGACCCTTGGGCCTGCGATGGCTTCTGCTGGGCACCCTCTGCTGGAGATCTTCCTGGTGGGAAATGCTGCATGAGTTGGCAGGACAGTCTGGGACGATAGGGAGGGCAGGAGTGGGGTGGTGGGACTGGGTCTGAATGGAGTGGTGGTCTTGGCAGGTGTGCGTGGCTAGGGTGCAGCAGGAGAGGGGAAAACTGGAATGCCTGAATCCAGAGGCCCTTCTGACCTGTGACCCCACAAGGTAGACAAGTCCTCTATTGAGTTAGTTCTCTAGCCTTCAGCAGTCAGCAATAGGCAACTATTGGTGCTTATTTCCCTCAAGAAATGCTGCTGACAGGCTGGACGGTAACTGTGAACAGAGCAGGCATCCGTCCAGCTTCCTGGGTCTGTCTTTCAGCCACCCAGTCTGTTTGCATTGTTCAGTGACCTACCCCATCAGGTGCTCCAAGGAAAGCTGACTAAACTGTTCTTCACTCTCCCTGCCAATTGGCCAGCCTCACTGCTCAGTAGAATTATGTGGGGAGTGTGTGTGTATGTATTGGGGGAAGGGGGTTCCAGGAGCCAGAATGTCTGGGTTCCCTGGGCCCCTAGTGTGGTTGAGGGAGCTTAGACATTTTCTGGAAGGATGGATTGCAGTCCAGGAGCATACGTAGGTCTCTCTGCCTCATTGATGCAGCTCTGGGAGATGGCCAGCATGGAGAGGTTCCAGTCCTTGAGCATGACGCCGTACTGGGGCTCCTACTGCTCTGTGCTGGCCTTTGGTGTCATGGTGGTTGTTTCCTTCCAGGCTATAGCTACTTAGCTCCTGCCACAGGCTGATTCTCCCAACATCAGTTTCTCTTTGAGGTGCTTGGGAGTAAGCTTGGTCTTGTGGCCAGCAGGTGGCTATCTACTGCAGCTGTTCTATGTTCACATCTCAGCTTTAGATCATGCTTGGGGAACCCTGGCTTTGTACCCAGAGTCTTGTGTCCACTTGTATCATATCAGTTCATGTCTTGCCTCTCTGTACATACTCTCTTCCTGCTCAGCCAAGGGCAGGCCTTGATATATGGAGGGTTCTAGATTTCTATGGGTGGTCTATGCCTTGGCCGCTCCAGAGGTGGAGAACTGGAAGAACTTCTGTCCACAGCCCGGGAGCAGGGCAAGATGGGGCCGTGCTGCCTGTCCCTGCTGTCTCTTCCACAGAGCTGAAAAGTGGTGGGCTCAGACTCAATCCCAGTTTAAGACCAGCACCAAAGACACAACAGGTATGGCCCTTGCCTTCTGGAGTGCAATGCAAGCTGCCGTGAAGCAGGGCAGGGAAGGTGGAGGATGGGTGACCCCACATGTATGGGCTACAGGAGTGGGATAAGAACCCTTGCAACCCTCCCAAGATAAGCATCCACAAGTCCAACAATTACATAGGCCCCTCCCCTTCTGAGGCCAGCTCCACATAGATCCTTCACCCCAGCTAGCTGGTGCTGTCCCATCCCTGGGCATGGGTCTCACAGTTCTCCATCTGAATTGCTTTCCCACCCCTCTCCTGGGCCTCTGCCTGGTGAAGCTGCTCTTCTGAGCTCCTCAAGGTGCACATGCTGGGCTCCAGATTCCACCTAAGGTAAAGAAGACAGCCATGGCCCCTAGTGTCAAGACCAACAGGTTAGGTGGGTAGACATGATGTCCCATGATAGGAGATACTTTAGAACCCAATGGTATGAGCACCAGGGACAGAGCTTCCTGGTAGAGGTCCATTGTATTGGGCCTTCATTTTGTCACCAGCATGCACCAAATGCACATACCTGTGCGCACAGGAGTGCCACAAGCCAAGAAATAGAGGCAAGTTTTGGTGCCCCACCCAAGGATCTTTTGGTACCAGAGTGGGTGAGAGGAAAGTTGGCAGCAGAGGTGTCAGAGAGAAAGTAGAGAATGCTGAGGAATCATACTCTCCACAGCTCCTTTCCCAAGCACAAGCCCCAGGACTCGGGCCTGCAGCAGGGGCCTGCCCTACCCCAGGCTTTGTCTCCTTTTCGATTAGCATTAAGCATCCATTTAGTCCATCCAATGCTAGATGTACTGTCAAACCCAGATGCCAGACTGTCACTTCTATAGTTTTTCCTCTTCCCCTTTGAGGACCTCACTTTTAAGAGGAAGCTGAAGAGGATTCATTCCTGCTTCATAGAGTGCCCACCATGTGCCAGACACATCTGTCCTGTCGGGGCTGGCACTCTAGGAGGCCTTCTGGTGGTCCTGGCCTTCAGTGAGATGCACATAGGAGCTGCAGCTCAGCTCCTGCCCTGCGTCCCATCCCAGGGAGTTGGCTGCTGGTATCATGCTCTGGTGTCATCTTGTTAGGGAGAGAAGGTGATTTGGCCCCCAGACAAAAGGCATGGGTAACAGTCGCCTATGGGCCCCCTGAGACCTCACCCTGTATGGCAGCTATTATGCAACCTACTGGTTACACCAACCTAGGATTGTTGTAAAAGGCAGCTCAGGACACAGTGGGGGGTCCTTGCTCTGCAACCTTCCAGTTCAGGAGAACTGAGAAGCAGAATCCCTTATCTACAATGCTTAGGGAACAAGAGGCCCCCAGGTGGCTCAAGTGAGCCTTGGGGAGGTCCCAACTTCCCCCTCTTCCACAGGACACGTGAAACCTGGACACAGTGAAACACCAGATGGTTATTTCAAAAAAAGTCTTTTTAATTGTTCAAAATAGCACAAAACGACATCGCACTATGGTAATATTGAGTCACAGGGGTTACTCTACAATAGATGAACGGGTGGTACTGTTCTCAGAAACAAGAGAAATCAAAGGGCGTTTGGGAGAAGGAACAGGGGTAAAACAGTGGGACCAGGCGAGTGGGCTCCAAGGTGACTAAACGTGACATTTTCCACAGCGAAATATACTATAATACAACAAACCAGAGGCCCCAGAGGGTGCAGGCCAGAGGTGGGAGGGGCTACCCTTTCCCCTCCCACATCTCCAGAGATGGCAGGACTGAAGATTGGCTGCTCATTTTAAATCCTTCCATGATCTGTTTGCAACCTTTCCTCATCACCTAAAGCCTGGGTGTGGGGCAGAAAAATCCAAACAGAGCTCTAACTCCCCAAGTCTGGCCCTTTGCAGGGAGGATCGACCTAGTCTGGGGATAAGGCTGTAAAATTCATGGAGCTGATGGCCAGTGCTGTTAGCTTCAGGCTCCCTCTGGGTGACACAATGCACTCTCCTGGAGAAAGGCCTCTGAGGACACCTCATTCCCATTCTTTCCCTTCAGTTCAGAGTGTCAGTCTCTCAGACAGTAATGCTGGAGGTGGGCCCACTCTCAAGCTCCCTCAAGCCTGACCTTGTAGGTGTGAAGTGCTCACCCATGGGGAGTAAGGTTTGACAGCTCACCCTTCCTTTGACCTAGAGGCTTGGGGACAGGCAAAGAGGCAGAGGGCCGGGGCTAGCAATTGGAAAGTTGGGCTGGGTATTGAACACCAGTCCCATGTGGGAGATTCCACACCTATCCTGCCACAACTGCCCCCAACTTTTCCTCCCGAAAGATCCCTGCCAAGGATTAGCCAAGGAGAAAAAAAGTTGAAAAAAAAAAAAAAGATAAACATTCTGTACACAGCTAACAACAAAAAGGGACAAAACCCCACACGCTAAGGCTAAAATTACAATAAAAATGTTAACTTCATCAATTTCAACTTAAAAAAAAAAAATACAACAAATGCAGCAGTTGGTGATGTGGCCCCAGCCTCAAGCCAGGCAGGTCCAAAGCCAGGCTTGCCAGGGACCACTCCATGCCCCATTGGGAGATTTCAGGATTTCACAGCCGCTGCTCAGGCTACCCAGGGGGTTCTCCTTTCCCCTCCTTCTATTTCCTTATTTTCTCTTCATAAAGGGGAAGGGGAGAAGTGGGAGCATGAAGGCCTCAGGGAAGATCTGTAAGCTTCCTGTGGGCTCGCTGGGCGAGATAGGACTGGCTAAGCCTGAGGAAGGGATGGGAGGTGACTGGAAACACAAGGGTAACAAAATAAAATAGAACCAGACAGATAACCCAATTTGGGATGCCCAGGAAAGTCTCTCTGAGGAGGGACCCAGGGGGTACCTTTCCTTGGCTCCTCTACCCAACCGCCACCCAGAACTTGGCTGCCCCCTCAGGCCAAGGGTGAAGAACCACACACGTGCAGGCTTTGAAGCGAGGGTGATGTCTATCTCCTTTGAGTTCCAATTTCTTTCCCTCAAAGGCCTCTACAGCCTGGGGGCAGGTGCTGGAGGGAGGGGGAAAGGAGGAGCGCTACTCTTCTGCTCCTGGCTCACTTATCACTTGCTGCTCTTTCAATCTGCCTTCTGCTTCCTCCCAACAGCAATGATAAAATGTGCTTTCTTTATTGTAAAAACAGACAGAAAGAAGGAGCATGAATGGTGGCCAGTGGCTGGTGAGGGTGAAGTGCGAATGCCGGGCAGGCGGGGCAGGCAGGGCAGCCCCTGATGGGTGGTTCCTGAAGCAGAGGGGGTCTGGAGAAGAATCCAGGTGCTGGTCAGCTTACTTTCACTGACCATCTGCCTTAGATTTCTTTGGAGCAGATTTCCTTGGAAAATGGAGTGGGGAGGGGGAGGGAGAGAGAGAGAGAGAGAGAGAGAGAGAGAGAGAGAGAGAGAGAGAATGAGTGTGTTAGGCTCCAAGTTGGAATCAGCAAGACCAGCAATATTGGACACCTGGTGGATCCAGTCCCAAGCCAACTGATGAGAGGCTGAATCTTACTATTTCCGCCCCCCACCTCAGAGTGTTCCTGAAAGGGACCTTCTGCTTACATTTCCGGAGAGGACATAGGCCGCTTGCTGGCCGGCTTGGTGCCTGAGCTGTCTTTACTGGTTTCTAAAAGGAACATGAGATGGTGAGCAGCCTGACAAAGAGCACAGAATACATTTGTGATTCACCCCCGAAAAGCCCTGGCCACCTCTCTGCTGCTCCTCAGAACTGCGTACACTCCCCTCAGATCTCCCCAAGACACAAGCCAGAGGCCCACTGGGCTTCAATCTTGCCTCTCTTGCTGCTTTCCCTGCCCTCAGAGGAGCAGAAATACTGCCCTCTGATGGCTGCCCACCCCACCCCACCCTTGCCCCCCACCCACAGGGCTCCAGACTCAGCTTGGGCTCTCTACTTTTGGTAGCATGCTGTTCTTGGACCTAGAAATCTTTGTCCTTCCCTACCATCCTACACCGTTGTGCACCCATGTTGTAGAACTCCCATGTTGTAGAACTCCCAAGTCTAGCTTGAAGCTGGGGCCCCCTGCTCTACTCACTGCCTACCCCCGTGGGAGCACTGTACATAGCATTAGCAGGAACAACTAGGGGAGGGCAGGACACACAGGATGAAGAGGGGACAACATCTGAGAAGAATCCAGTACCAACCTCCTGCTGTACCCAGCTTAACCATAAGCTGCCCCAAGAGCTCCACAAATGATACTTACCTTGCAACCACCTCACTTGTGTGGCTGGGCCATACCCCTTCTCATTGCGGGCAGCGATGCGGAAGATGATGGCGGGCTTGGTGGTGTAGTCAATGTGGGCATTGGAGAGACTGGAGGACTGCACAAGGCAAGAGGGGCTGGGCCCGCAGTACACTCGCATAAAGGCCAGCTGGGCTGGGGTTGAGCTCTTGGGCTCGCCGCCAGCCTGTGAGCTCTGGATGGCCAGGTACACAGAGTACTCGATGATCTTGCCGGAGGTCACAGAGGGCGGCTCCCAGGTGAGGTGAGCACCGTCTGGACTCTAGAAGCCAGGACAGAAGGTCAAGCTCTGCCTTCTTCAGTCACTGAGGTCTCAGCCCACCCGGCCTGTCCCCAGAACAGGGGGCAAAGAAGCCTGCAGTACTGATTGCTCCTACCCCAAGAGCTTTTTTTCCCCCTAACACAATAGAGATATTCCACATCAGAGATCAAAGAACTTTAAAAGAGATCTGCCCCGAAGTGGAAAGAATAAAAGGAACTGGGACTCAAAACAGCCTTCCTGAATCTACTACGTAATGTGTGACCTGTCACTTTGCCTCTTGATGTGTCAGTTTCTGCATCTAAGAAACGGAGCTACAATAGCAAGAAGAGCCACACCTCCTGGGGATGTTTTTAGGATAAAAGACATATCGAAGAGCAGGCCTGGTGGCACATGCCTGTAATGCCAGCTACTCAGGAGGCTGAAGCAGCACAAGTTGTAGGCCAACCTGGGCAACTTAGAGAGACCCTGTCTCAAAATAAAAATAAAAAAGGGCTAGGGATGTAGCTCAATGGTAGAGCCCTTGCACAGCATGCATAAGGCCTCAGGTTCAATCCCCAGTACTATAGGAAAAAATAAAACATGGAGCAGTACAGAGAGCTTAACACAGAGTGCCTGCTCAAGGACACTAGCTGTCAGGCTACAGAGAAAGAAACTGAGGCTAGGGAATAGAAAGGAACTTTACCTTGTCACCCTGGCAATTGATGACACAGGACCAGAAGCCAGAGTCTTAGCATTCATTACCCACCAGGCAGCAGTCTCTGTCCACCAAGGGTGGGCCCGGCTACCATACTCACATCTGTGTGCACCCCCATCACCACCACCACCACCACCACCTGGGTCCTCTGCATGGATCGGGAGCTCTGTGCCTGTGCACTCAGCCGAAATTTGCTCTGCTCCCAGCAGGCAAGGGACCAATGGTGGGGACAGGCCACCCCACAGGGAGACTCACTTTGCTGATTTTAATGGCACAAGGGGCCCCTGGGAAACCAGGCAGACATGTCTTAAAGGCTGAGATCTCGCTGAAGGGCCCCCGGCCACAAGCGTTGATACCAGCAACACGAAACTTATAGGCTGTGCCTGGCTGTAGCTCCTGCTTCTTCAGTTGGTTATAGTCAGGGACAGTGCCCGAGTCATCCTGGGGAAAGAAAATGTAAAAATCAGATGAAGAAAAGAGAAGAAAGTGGCATGAAGCTCACTGCTAAGAAGTTGGCCCTGTGGGCTGTGGGTTAAGCTCAATGGCAGAGCATTTGCCTAGTACTCAAGGCCCTGGGTTCCATCCCAGCACCACAAAAATTAAAAAGGCAGCTAGGGGGTCAGAAGAGCAAATGTCCATCTTGTGAACACTGTAGATGCATGAGAACTATGTGGTGAAGGGGAATGAGGTCACCAATGGCTGCCGCTATGTGGCAAGGAGGGATATGATGAGGGTGGCTGAGGTCAGGCACCATCAGGAAAGGACCAAAAGTTTTCACTTTCTTATTGCCTCAGGGGGAAGGATCTCCACCTGGCCATCCTCAATGTTTACTGACCACTCAAGTTGGAGAAAAGATAGTTTCTTGTGAGCCTCAACTCAGGGCAGCAGAGCCAAACCTGCTTCTAAATCCTTGCCTCACGGCCAGGATCCACTCACCCAAGGGTGCCAGCTCTTGGGGACACTTACATCTGATGGGACAGCATCATCAGGTGGCAGGAAATAGTGAGTCACCATCACATTGGTGCCCTTAATGACCCCCACATCAAACCATTGGTTCTCCTTCTTCACAGGGGCTTTGCTGGGTGGTGGTGGCAGGTCTGGCTTCTGGAAAATAAAAAGGGAGATGAGATCAGGTCCTTAGCCTTCAGGGTCTGGAGGCAATGCTGATCCCTGTCCCCCAGGGTCCCATCACACCCAACTCACCACACCCAGGGACTCTATGCCATTGGCCACTTCAGTTAGGGTAGCTGCAGCCTGTAGCTTCGCTGGGCTAGCTACCACAACTGGCTGGGGGGCCACAAAGGTGTTGGACGGAGCCAGGCCTGGGAATAAAGAAGGTATCAACAGCAAAGGTTCTGGAAACCTGACTTCTCTGCAGGGCCTGGACCTCCTGAAATGGCACCCTTATGCTACCCTCACCTCCCTGTCTCCCCCTGGCCACCTTCTACCCACGTACTCTAGCACCAATTTACCCCCCAAATTTCTTTCCCAAAATAACTAAGCTCCCCAGGGGTAGGGCTCAAAGCCAAGGCAGGGCTCTGCTTACTCTCAGTGGCTGTTGAAGGCAGCAGAGCCACGGTACTGGGGACAGCACCAGCCAGCTCATTGAGGCAGTTGCTTTCGATGGTTGGGTCATTGAGGCTGTCGGCTGGGGCTAGGGCCTCGGTAGGGAGGTGGTGCTGCTGCTGGGCCTGGGCCTCCTGCAGCTGCTGCTGCTGCTGCACCAAGGCAGCCAATTCCTGCTGTGTCAGCACAATAGGGATGGTGGTGGCCTGGCCCTCCTGGCCCTCGGCTGAAAGGTGACCCAGCTCTGCTTGTGTCACAGCTGCTGCCGCCTCGGATGTGTCCATGGGCTCCCCGGTGCCTGCTCCAAGGCCAAGAAATACACTACTCAAAAGGAACGCCAACATGCTTGGCCCTATGGACAGGGATGCTGTCCCTAAGGTAAGAGCTCAGAGACCTATTTCTCTGATGGTTTTTATCCCACCCATACCCCACTGTGGGTTGTACTCTGGCCACTGGACCCTGCCTCCTTCTCAGTTGTCAGCTCCAGCCTGCCTGGCCAACATAGGTCTCCCCACCACTGGCCTGCCCAGGGTCCACTATACCACTCTTGCAGGAAGTGGGCCTTCTCTCCTCAGCTGACCTACCACCGCCTGTCACCTCAGCCCTCTATTTAGGGCTATCATTCCTCATGAGGAGTCTACTTTCTCTTGGGACTCCTGGTTAGCACCTACCCATGACAGCCTGCTGTGCGGCCTGGAGCACTGCCTGGATGGCCAGGGCCTGGGCCTCCTCGGTGGCTGCAGCCTGGGCAGCTGCTTCTGCAGCAGCAGTCACTGCAAGCTCCTCAGGGGTGAGCCCTGTTACCATGAGGGTGGTGGTGCCCGCCTGGGCCTCAGCCATCAGCTCTTGGGGAAGTGTTAACTGGTCTACTTCAGACTGTGTGGGCTGGGGTGGCTGGACCACCACAGTGGCCACTACCGCTGAGCTGGCAGGCTCCTGGCCTGAAGATGGGTCCCCTGTGCTGCTCAGATCCACGGCAGTCTGAAGCTCAGGGGTCTGGGAGGCTGACAGGACCTCGGTGGACTCCCCCATCAGGGGTGTGGAGGAAGACTGCAGGAGTTGCCGTGGCGGCAGCTGCTGGCGAGGTCCTGGTGAGACCTGGAGTTCCTCTGGGGGCTGCAGGATGTCAACAGCAGAGAAGGGCATGTCAGAAGTTTCTGTGTTGGCTATGGTCACTGTTATCGTGGCTGGGATGGGGACTTCGGAAGTCAGAGCCCCTGGGGTAGTCTCAGTCAGTGATGAAATCTTCTAGAAAGGGAGAGAAGCTCCCGTCAGAGGTGGGGAGGGAAGCCAGGACCCAGTAGTGAGGCTAAAAAGCAGGATAGCCTTCATCTTTCCCTTTGGGCCTATAGGGTCACTTGTGATGGGCCATCTTGACCCCATGCTAAATGGGAATGGGGACAGTGGGTCATCAACCAGCACAAAAGGTACAATGAGAAGGGTAGACCCTTGAGACCCCCAGGTCAAATTGAATTAGTCTTCAGAGAGGCTTCCCAGTATATAGGCAAAAAAAGCACTCAAACCCCCACCATCTCACTTTTATAGGCTACAGTGAAACCACAAGCGACTGGAAACAGCTACGGAGACAAAGCGCCCTGGAATGGCTGAGAACTGTCGGACAGCTGCCTCCTGCCCATCAAGTATGGAGGCTGCCCTTTTACGGTCTGGAAAAGGAACCAGGAACAGCACTGTGCCTGGTACAAGAGCGACATCTGGTGTCTGACTCTGGAACAGCACGGGCCAAAGGGTACAGTGGATGAGGGATCCCTTCTGGCTCTTACCGGCACGGAAGGGCCTGGAACAGGTGTGGACTGTGTCACGGTGGTCACTGCCCGTGGCAGCGTGGAGGACACGGTTGTTGTGATGGCACTGGAGCTGGCGATGTTCACACTGTCAGCCTGGGTGCTCTCCACTTCTCCCTGATCACTGGCAGCTGGTGGGGGATCTGTGAAGGCACAGGCAGAATGGTTGGCTTCTGCTTGGCTTTACCATCATAGGCTTCTGCTGTCCTCAAGGGAGGACCAGAGAATGAGACAGTATCCTGGAGACCCCCCTATGTGTAACTTGACACATCAAAGCTCTCTCTACCTCACCCCACTTGCAGATTGATTGCCACAGCATATTGGTCTCTGGACATAATTTTGTCACCTTTTTTCTCCTCTGAGCCTTGGGGTCTGGGGGATATGAACACAAGGACAGATGCCTTCACTCACCTTGATTTGAGCTCATGTTGGAGGTGACAGTGGTGGCTGTGTGTGTGGTGCCCGTCTCGTGGGTCTCACAGGGGGGGTTGGAGCACACCCTCTGTGTTGGGAAAGGAGCCAGCAATGCAGCACCAGCCTGGGAGGTGATGGTGGGCACTGCTGCTGCCTCCAAGCTGGACTCCAGGGTCCTGTGGGATGGGGCAGCATCAGGGAGCAGGGCACCCACGCTGACTGACATGGTGGTGCCTGTGGAAGTGGTCTGGTGCGTCTCACAGGGTCGGCCAGCAGGGGGCTGCTGCCCACCCTCGGGCTGGCCTGCCCCCCCATTGGAGGTGGCAGTGGTGGCCGTGTGTGTGGTACCCGTCTCATGGGTCTCACAAGGCGGGTTGGAGCACACCCGCTGGGCGCTGCCTGCATTGGAGGTAGTGGCGGTGTTGGTGGTGCCTGTCTCGTGGGTCTCGCATGGCGGGTTGGAGCAGACTTGGGTCACTGTGGATGAGGGGCACAGCAGAGCCTCCAGGGCCGTCACAGTTACAGTGGTGCTGGGTGAACTGGTTTGGAGGCTCTCGTATGCAGGTGTGGGGACCACACGAGCTGCACTGGGCTCCCCAGTACCTATGATGGAGCGTGCCATGGTGGGGGTGTTGGTTGTGTGTGTGTGATGCGTCTCCAACTGGCGCCCCAGGAGCACGTCCTTGTTGCTGGGGCCACTTGGCCCAACTTTACCACTCAGAGGGGCCAACTGCACAAAAGCAGGGCTGTGGACCCCAGCCTCCAGGGCCATGCTTGGCCTCAGCAGGGAGCCAGTTGAGCATGGGGCCCCAGTGGCCATCACAGTCATGGTGGTGCTGGTCGCACTGGTCTGGCGGGTTTGGCACTGGGACTTGACAGAACCTTGGGCTCCCTCCAATGCCCCAGGAACCACACTGATCCGGACCACAGTGGGAGTGGTAGAGGCACGACGGGTATCTCGTTGCTGGCCAGCATCAATGCTGGACATGGCCGTCGTGGCGGTGCTGGTGGTGCCCGTCTCATGGGTCTCACAGGGTGGGTTTGAGCAGCCATGCTGCCCAGCCATGTTGGAGGTGGCTGTGGTGGCAGTGTTGGTGGTTCCTGTCTCATGGGTCTCACAGGGTGGGTTCGAGCAGACGCGGACCACACTACCATTCTGCTGCCCCACAGTTGAGGTCACAAGAGAAGCAGCTGCCTCCTGCCTATCACAGACAAACTGCACTTGGGTGGGCTGGGGGTGTCCCCCAAGGTTGGCCACAACAGTGGTGGTGGCCGTGTTGGTAGTGCCCGTCTCGTGGGTCTCACAGGGTGGGTTGGAGCACACCAGTGTCACAGTGCCAGGCTGAACATCACCCTGGCCAGAGTCGGCAATGGTGACTGTGGCTGTGGGCTGCTCTGTAGTAGGTGAGGCCAGAATGGACACAGGGAGATCGTGCACAGGCTGGGCCTCGACCCCACTAGGCGCTGTAATCAGAGTCACCTGGGTAGGCTGAGAGACAGGCTGGGGGAGATACAAAACCAAAAGAGTTAGTATCATGAGTTACATGACTTCCCATCTGTCTGTCTCTCCCATCATCCTACATTATCACCCATGCCAAATGGGACCACAAACTCTCCTCCTAACCAGCCCTGGCAAATCTGTCTCCCCTCTGATCCCAAGAGGCTGACTTGATGAAATACCAGGGAAGAGTCACTGCTTTGCCTCAAGGGCAATTCAAACTAAGGAAGGGGTTGTGAGACAGGACCAGGACAGGAGAGGAGGCTAGAATAGAGTCCTTCTCAGGGAATGTAATCCCTTGATGATGTACAAAGGCCATCAAGAGATTCCTCACTACTTTTAGAAATCCAGCTTAAGAAAACGTACGGAGAGAAGACCAATACTACAGGCACATGAAGATGAACTCTATAACATTATAAGAGAGTAAGTATTGGCTCAAACAGGAGGTCTCACCACAACAGACTATGAACAGGACTACACATCAATAAGGAAATCACCCCACGTGCTGGAAAAGCGCCAGGGCTGCACAACTTCTGGAAAAGGGCCTAGTCCTCCCATACTTTTCACCTGGGTCACTGCTATGTGCGATGGCACATCTTTGGGCCCCACCCTACCTGCATGGTGATGGTGGGTGTGGTGAGCCCGCCAGCAGCCGTCAGTGTGGTCTGCGCAGCTGACACGGTAATGGCGGTGGGGTTGATCACCTGGCTCGAGAGGGTGGCGATGGTACCCAATGTGGTGATGGGCGTGGCCAGGGAGGCGCTGGTGCTGTGGCCCCCAGCTCCAGCAAGGCTGGTGGAAACAGTGCCCGTCACCGTGCCTAGGGTTGTGACACCTAAAGGAAGGGAAGCAGAGATAAAGTGTAGCCTGCTGCTACCACTGCCTTTCCAGTAGCATCTCTCCATGGATGGGGCTAAGGGACCAGGAGCTCTGGAGTGCAGCTACTGAGGACCTGCCATCCTCCCCCAGCTGGACTATGGGGAGGTGGCCACAGGAAGCCTGTAGGGATGGAGCCCAGCCATTGTTGAGGCCCTAGCCTGTGGGCTACACACCTGTGGTACCCTTCACAACCAATGTGGTGACGGCTGGCTTGACGGCAGAGACGGTGACAGGGGTGACCAGGCGAACGCCCCCCATGGGCACGGTGCGGAGGATGGTGCCTGGCTGTCCAGGGGCCCCCTTTAGCACCACCTAGAACACCAGAGCAAAGCGCCACCAACATCACTCCCAGGCTGGCTGGACTGTGTTGCCCTTCCCAGACCTGTCAGGAGGACATGTGTGCCCTGCTGGGGTGGACTACACTAGAGACCAGGGTGAAGAGAGGGTCATGTGTACCTTACCTGTGTCACTCCTTGCTGCCCATGGCCAGTGGCAATCTTGGGGACAGCAGTGATGATTTTAGCAGGTGCTCCAGTTCCTGAAGTCATAACCTTGGTGGTAATAATGGTGATGGGGGACTTGATGCCAGGACTATTAGTCACACCTGCATAGGAGACACGGGGATGGGGGTGGGGTGGGGGGTGGACACGACACAGACATGACATGAGTTCTGTGAAGACATCCCATATCCCATCTTCCTTGGGCCCCCTTTTAATGCAGTCCCCTCTGCAGCCCAGGAGATAAAAGAACTACCAATCAGAATCAGATGCCTGCCAGCTCCCTACAAATCTCAAAAACTAACAAAGCAAAAGGATGCAGGAAAGGGGAAACCAAAATCAGGGTCCACAGTGTGACTGCCCCCCCCTTCTTCCTCATGACAGGTACTTGTCAGCAAGGACCTTCAGGAACCTGTGTCAGGGATACCCCTACCTGTTGCGCCTGCCTGGGTAATGATGGCGGACATGGGGATGGTCTTGATAATGGTGGTCGTGCCAGGTTTGGTAGTGCTGGGGGAGACACTGCTGATGCCCAGGATGGTGGGCTTGGTCCCTGCTCCACTGGCCTGCGTGGTGGTGATGATGGTGGTAGGTTTTCCATCTGCTGAGGTCACCAGCTTCAGGATTGTCCCTGCTGGCAGGGGTCCTTTGGTCTGAAATGGGAAGCAAGTATGAATGGGTACCACTATAGGGAAAGAACGTTTGCTTTGGCTATTCTCCAATGGCAGTCTAAGTAGTCCAGGAAATGTTTTGCAGGTGATAGGACTGAATAGCAGGACTCTATAAGCAACACATACTCCTGAAATCTTCCATGAGCAGAGACATTGAGTTATCCTCATGGCACAGCACCTGTTCTTGCCTATGAGGCTCTGAGTTTAGGGATCATTTTCAGAAAACACTAAGAGCTCACCTGGATGATCTGAGTTACAGGACCCGTAGATGCCTGGCCTGTGACTGCTGAAGTCTGAACTGGTTTGGTCTGGACCACTGACATCACTTTGCCCAGATTGGAAATCTAAAAAGGAAAGGATGGAGCAGGGAGTGATCCAGAAACCAAATAAGGGCATGGCCTGGACTGGGACTCTATTGGAAGTGGACCAGGGGCAACAAGTCACCCCTGGCAGCCACCTTAGTCTGGCAGCTGTCACATGCAGCCAGGTGGTGCCCGTCACTCACCAAAGCACTGCCTCCTGGTACGGAGATGGGGCTCTTCACAAGGGTGATGGTCTTGGTGACCCCACCTACAACTGTGGTCACCACCTGGGCTTGCTGGGCCACGGTCACGGTCCCTGACTTGTGCACCGTGATAATAGGGCGGGTAGATGTGTTAGCGGCAGAGGAGACTGATGTCCCCACTTGGGCAGCTGCAGTCTTCAGCATACGAGTAGCAGGATTGCTCACCTTGAGGGACAAAGATGTCTGTTGAGCAGGGTAGAGACTGAGCTGCCATTTGGAATGCCCATGGCTCTACCTCTGATGCTCACCACACTTCATCCCCAGAACAAAATAGAGAGGTTTACTTTTCCTTTTAATGATGCTAGGGAGCAGCCTGAATGACCACATGTCTATCCCTAAGGCTGTAATACCCCCAAAAAGTAACTGCTTATGCCACAGCCCACACCAGTACCAATTATGGACCAATGGCCTCAAGGGTTGGTCAAAAGCCCAGAAGAAGTGACTGCTGTTTTATGACAGTGACCAGAAACGCCTGGCCCTGTGGTTGCTGGCTTATAACCAAGCCCAGAAGACAGATGCTCACCATGACGGGAGAGGAGGCCACCTTCACAGTGGCTGGGAGGGTGGTCGTGCCAGGTGTCACAGCCACAGTCTTGACGATGGTGGTGCCCGCTGGGACACTCAGCACTGTAGGCGCTGAAGAAGGAGGGATTTTCTGGGTGGCAGCAGCAGCAGCTGCCAATGCGGCCATTCCACTCATCTGCGGACTGCTACCAATCACCTGTGGCAGGCACAGGGCACGTAAGCCATGTGGCACCACCTGCCTCCCTGGAACCTGCCAAGGGACTCAGCAGCATCCCTTAGCTTTTCCTACTGCTGGCCCCTCTCTCCTAGCCCCAAATAAGAAAGATCGCCACCAAAAAGCAAGCACAGAAACCCCTGTGGCAGGAATTTGCAAGGCACTCTGGATCCTTAAAAAAAAAAAAAAAAGACAACAGAGTCAGTGCTACTGCACATGCTAACATGCACAAGGCCCCGGCCGGGTTCAATTGCCTACAGAGTCAGATACACCTCACTTCTTATGGGCCTGGGTCAGACCCAGCTGGCCACATTCTCCCTCAAGCTACAGGACAAGGAAGTCCACGTTTAAAATGCCCTGAGGATCACAAAGCAAGTTAGGTTCTTTTGAAGCATTAACTTATTAATTCTCAATCCTGCCAGAAATCTCACCGCCAGCATTTTACACACAAGAAAGGCATATGATACATGGTACAAGAGCCAGCTGGGATCCAAACCCATCAGAGCTCTATTTATTCTACTTGGTCACCAGAAAGTCCCGCTCCCATTCCCTTAGCCCTGCCCAGTGACAACTCCTCACCGTCCCCTGGGCACTCTGTGTGGGCACAACCATTCGCACACCGGCAGGCAAGGAGGTCACAGTGACAGGGGCTTTCCCAGCCTGGCTGGCAGGCCGCATTGTGACCAATGGGGTTCCTGTTGTAGCCTGAGGACCAGTCACTTTGAGAACAGCAGGGACACCTGATGAGAGAAGGTGTTGGCCATCAGCAAGTCACCTTCCACACAATGTCCCAGGCCCTCTGTATTTCAGTACATAGACCTGAACTACTCCTAGACCGGTCTGTGGTCTGCGGTTTGCTTTGTGTGTGGATCTTCTGTGCCTTCTGGCAAGTTCTCTGCAAGCAGGATGGAGCTTTCTCCTCCCCCTCATCCCCTTGCAATAAGCCCAAAGTCAATGGCTACTGGGCTGTTATTTAACAACCCTCATAAATCAGGGCAGTGGCTCCTACTTAGGCACTGAAGGTCCCTAGGGATATGCCCCTGACCCTGCAGCTTACCTTGAGTCCTGGCTGCAGTGGGCACAGAAATGGAGCTCCCTGGCACTGTCGGCAAGACCTGGATGGTGGTGGTGGTCGGGGGCGCGGCGGCAGCCTGGGGCAGGAGCGTGATGCCTACTTGGGTCAGCGGCTGCACAGCAGGTGCGGCTGCTGCTGGGGCAGGGCTCTTGGGAGGGTTGGCAGGCACAGATGGGACTGGATTGGGTGTGGGGGAGGTGGCAGTAGCAGCCGTGGCAGGAATGTCATATTTCTGGAGCTGCAGAAGGTAACTGTCGGCTGTTGCCACTGCCCCCCAGCTCACCTCCAGGGAGTTGGTGTTGGCTCGTACCAGTTGTACCCGGGCCGGGGGTGGTGGCTTTTCTGTAAGAGAACACAGCTTCTAAGATGAAGAGGAGCGGGAAGCTTTAGGAGTGGGATTGGTGCCGACCCGGAAGAATGGTGCCTTACCTGTCTCCAAGTACCAGAGGTCCTTGCAGCAGACCTGGTTGTTCCAGGCCTTCCGGTAGCCATCGCGCCCACTCCAAATATACAGGCGGGTATTGATGGCAACTGCACAGTGGCCAGCTCGAGCACGAGGAATGTTGTCCTCCAGTGTGTCCATCAGGATGGTCTCCCAGGCCATGGTATCTAAGGGTTGGCAGGTGCTGGAGGTTAACAGGAAGGGTAGAGGAAACCCACCCTTTCCCAATTCCCAGCTGCCCCTTGTCTTTTTATTGTTAGGGATGGGGAATAAAAACCAGAAAATTGTCAATGCACTAAATTAAGAACAAGCAAACTCCATACACCAAAAGCACCATTTAAAAAATATGATGCTGGGTGCAGTGGTGCACACCTATAATCCTAGTTATTCAGGAGGCCAAGACAGGAAGACATTCCAAGTTCAAGGCCAGCCTGGGCAACATAGCAAGACCCTGTCTCAAAAAAATAAAAAGGGCTAGGAATGTTAACTCAATGGCAGAGAATACCTGGGTTCAATCCCCAGTAGAGAAAGAGAGAGAGAGAGAGAGAGAATTGTTAGAAAACTATAAGTGAAGGTTTTGAACATCAAATAACACGTGTGCCAGAGAGAGATAGAGACAAGGGGGACCACGGTTTATAAGAAAAATTGAATAGAAAGGCCTTAAAACAAAAATGTACCCTTCAGTCAACATAAACCACACAGTACCTGGCAGTTTGAGTTCTGTGCCCACTGCAACTGGGGCTCAGGGTGAACCGATGCCAAGGGGTGGCCAGTGGGGAATTCCTGCCACCCAGCAGGCTGGCAGAGTCTGTATGCTGACGGCCAGGTTCCAGGAACTTGAGCACCACTGGGGTTATCTACACCGATATAGCCAGAGTGGTGTGGCAACATCTGATGGCAACTTTACCTCTAGACATTTTTTTTTCCCTTTGAGATGGGGTCTCACTATGTTGCCCAGGCTCAAGCCACTCTCCTGCCTCAGCTCTGGAGTAGCTGGGACTACAGGCACCACATACGCCTGGCTACCTACCTCTAGGTGTTAATTACTCTTTGAGTGCACTTGCATTTGGGTGAAAATGGTGAAAGGATACTCATAGGAGCAGCATCACAAGTTTTGGCGTCACAATAACAATTCAGAAGAATGCAGCTGCTTACTGTGAGGGGACGTGGAATGATCTCCAAAATGAAAAGTGCCAGTGCAGCCCTGTGTACAGCAGGCTACAGACCTACAGTTACTGCCTTTATGTGCAAAAGAGTCCCTGTAGAGGGGGCACAAGAAACCACCCATGTGGCTGCCTGAGATGTGGGGAGGCTCTGCACCAAATACACTTTCAGATGTCAGACCATGTATGTGATGAGACTATTAAAATAATAAGAGAGAAGAGCACTGTTTTGGAGCACTCCACCCAATGGGTACTTCTGGTGGTTTCTAAAAGGAGCCATGGGCCCAGCCTCACTCCCCGCACACCCCACACAGCTCTCAGGGCTGAGGAGGGTTAGCCTCTCCCAGGCCACTCCAAACCCGAGGAGGCCATACCCAGGTTGAGACAAGCCAGCGTGTTGGTACACTTCCACTCCTTCTCGTGTGTGGCCACTTTGACATCATCCATGACGAGAGGCACCCAGCCACCAAATACATACATTCTGAGAGGAGGGAGGGAAAAGCAGGAGAGGATTGTAGAGGAGATGCCAAGCTAGAGGCCACCTCTTCTACTCTGGAAGTTCCAAACATACTCAGTCTTCTAGATCTCCCCAGGAGTCCCCCAGGGCACACAAAGCCTTTAGATAGCCCTCTCCTACCTGGTGGCTCAGTTCTCACAAGAACTGCGTCACCTCTCCAGCAAGAAACCACTGTTTTGCTCATCTAGGACCTTGGCATTCAAAAAGATAGCTACTTGTGGGGAGGATCGGCACCTTTGATGGGATAGAGCCTCACAGGCCCAAGAAGGGTCTCAGGCTGAGTTTTGTGGGCAGGACCCTCCATACTGAATTTATCTTCTCTGGATCCCCCAGGGTTGTAAGGGAAAAACGGGGCTACTCAATGCCAACCCAGCCAAGAAGCAGCCTCCTTGGGCCTTAGGGACTGTCACAACAAAACTGACCAGGAACCCTTCAGAGTGAGAACAATTCCAGGCCAGGAAAGAGGAAAGTAGCCACTCACTTGTTTCCTATGGTAGTTGCAGAGTGAAGACTGCGAGGAAGGGGTGCCACCCCACTGAGACTGGGCTTATTCCATGTCAGCGTCTCTGCAAAGATGAAAGAGGAAGGATTATCCACACTGGACCAGACACAGAGGATATTCCCTGGACTTGGGCATGGCAGGTGTGACCTAGCACAAGAACTGCATCCCTGACCTTACTATATATAGCTCACAGAAGGCCCTCTGATTGTTACCCTAACAGCCAGATTCTAGTATTTTCAAAATGATTCTGATAACCCCAGGAAGACAGTTTCTTTCAAAAAGTATTGAGCACCTCCCATGAGGAAGCAATGCTTCTGGAGCTGGGAAAGGAAGGCTGAACTCCCCCTTCAGCCACTCTCACTTCCTACCCTTCATGGAACACACCATCATACCACCTTAATGCTCTACAGACTGTATTTTGGCCTATGCTGATGTTTCTCTCACACTGAACCATTTGAGTACTGAGTCTGATCTATGGGGCAACACAACCAATACTCTCTCTCCTAACCAATACTACTCTCCCATTGGCAGACCTTCCAGAAATCTGTATTTGGCAATCTTTTCCTAATCACCCCTGATGCCACCACCTGGCTACCAGACCAAGTATCCCCCAAAAAGCTTAACAGTCTGTGGACATCCAATTTTACCACAACAGCCAGACTAGGCTGCATTAGTCACATGTAGACTAACGACTCTTAAGTCAACAAGCACTAATGCTACCCAAATCAAGAGTAATTCCAATAGAGAAAAACCTCAATCCCCTTTCTTATTCTCCTAAAGCTAGCTAACAAACTCATCAGACTAAGCCTTACCTTCTTAAAAAGAATATCACCAACACAGGACAAAGATACCGGCTCACAAACCTAGGGACTATCAAGTGTCCTACCTTCACCCTGTCATAAGGAGTGCAAAGAGCTAAAGAGGACACCACCTCCCTGTATGATGATGGCAGCCCAGACCAAGTCTATTACAGCAGCAAGGGCTTCCTTTTTTTTTTTTTTTTTTTGAGAGAGAGAGAGAGAGAGAGGGAGAGAATTTTTTTTTTAATATTTATTTTTTAGTTTTCGGTGGATAAAACATCTTTATTTATTTATTTATTTTTTATGTGGTGCTGAGGATCGAACCCAGCGCGCCCCGTGCATGCCAGGCGAGCATGTTACCACTTGAGCCACATCCCCAGCCCAGCAAGGGCTTCTTACCAATATCCAGGGTCCAGAGATCTCCTAGCCTGCAGCCACTCATCCCTCCATAGATCACCAATTTGGATTTCTTATTGTCTTTTTCTGTGTAGACCACAGCAGTATGTGACTCTCGAGGTGGAGGCAAGACTCCGTAAGTGATGGGGATATCCCAGGCTACCACTCCAGAGCCTGGCCGTAATTCCAGGATATATAAGTCATTCAGGTACCTGATGAAGAAAGATCAGTTAGTGAGCCTCAATTCCACATGCTAGAGGCCTCACTGGGTACGTATCAGTGAGCAGCAGACTCTTGGGAACATAAAGGGGGCAAAGTCTATGTGAACTCCAAGTTGTTCTTTTACCCTTGCCCTTGAGGAAGGTGCTGCCAAAAGCTTCTGAAGGCATGCCTAATTGGAATAGCGGGACAGGGTGTGAGGCCACGTGGCCTCATCGAGTTCAGACCCAGCAGCAGGCCCCTCCAGGCTGCTGAGCTCACAAAGCTGAGCATTATACAGGGCCTCCTAGAGCAAGAAGGGGTTGTTGGCCTGGGACTACCTCCAGACAGAAAGGCCCTTGGCCACAGGCCTTGGAAAATTCCCATCAGGAAACTTGTAGGCAGTGAAGGATGAGAGGGAAAGCACCAATTCTAAACTGAGTCTGAGGTACAGGGACCGGCCTAAGGCAAAGCAGGCTTCCACCTCCTCCCATGAGGCCTACTCATAGTTTCAGATATCAGAGTAGCAGAGTTCCTCAGAGAGCATTCAGTGCCAATCTCTCATTTGACAACCCAGCGCAGGAAAGGCACAATGCTGCAGTGGGCTTAGCCGGCCTATCTGACTTTAGGATTCCAGAGAGCCCTCTATCTAGGCAAGCAGACCCACCCTGGTGGAGTTCTATAGAAAAAACAAGTGTTTTTACCTTGGAATGTTGTTCTTGGGGTCCTCGCTATCGTTGGCCAGACCCCCAAATAGGTAGCATTTGTTGCCCACAAGGGAGAAGCTGTGCCCAAGCCGAGGACATGGAGGGGGCCCGTTTTTGGGCGTTTTTGCTTTGAGTCTCTTCCACTCCCACCGGCTTGCCTGCAAAAACAAGACTTGGAGAATAACTCCTGGGATAAGAGGACTCAAGTAGGGAATCTGGGGCAATTTATGGTGTAAAGAAGAAAAGATCTCCTCCACTGCCTCGCTCATCGTAAGCCCCCAAGCCACCAATGTAAAGGAGTAGTATAGGAGGTCATATGGAGACTAGAAGGCAGTGTGAAAACATAGGTCTGTGAAGAAGGAAGGTCCCAGGGGCTCTATACCGTTACCTGGAGCTCGTAGAGATCGTTGCTGTATTTCCCGTACTCCACCATCCCACCAAACACCAGCAGGCGAGTACCATCACATACGAAGCCATAGGCAGCACACCCCGGAGGGATGTCCCCTCTCACAGCCGGGATGAACCACTGGTTGGTTGCTGAAGAACAAAAGAAGTCGAAGTCAAAACACCCAGAAGCTTCTAGAATCTGAGCCCGATTCCTCATATCCCCCAAGTTCCCCAACCTTCACGTATAGTCAGAGAAAGGAGAGGCTGAGCCAGGATGCTATCCCTTGGGAGCCCTATCACCCTGCACCTACAGTCACTCTGGCCAGGCCATCTGCCAGAGCCCGGGACTTCAGATTACTACACAACTGCCTGTGACCATCCTGCTTCTCACCAAGGTCATCTTGGCAAGCAGGAAGTCACTGGCCAAGACAATCCATCAGCTTCTGGGAATCTGGGCACTGACTTTTCCCTATCACTAGCAGGATCATCACAATAAACTTCTGTACTCAAATGTTCTCTCTAAGCCCCACGCTTCTCCTAGAAGCCTACATTTCTCTCCCTGCACCACAGGGTCAAGACAGCCAGAACCCATGGCTGTCTCTTTGCAATAAAACAGCAACTGCTGCAGGCCTATGCCTCCCCTCTGTGCAGGCAGGCGAGGGAGGCCACAAACCAGCCTCAGCTAGCCGGCAGGGGAGAGATGGGGGCAAGAATTGGTCTCTGCTGACCTCCCGGGCCTTGCTGTCTGCTCTGACTTCCCCGCTGTTCTCGTCTCCTAGGTGATGGTCCACAGGCTCAGTGGCAGCGCCAGTACCCCTCCCCCACAACCACGCCTACGCCTATGCTGCTCCAGAACATTCTCAAGCCAGAGGTGGCAACCGCAGCAGAGCTTCTATGACAGAAGCTTCTCAAAAGCCCTTCACACTTCTGGCTGGGGGTGGGGGTGGGGAGGCTACCAAGAAAGAGGGCAAATCAAATCCCATGCACTGCTTGGATCCCCAGTGCATAACAGAGTCTTGAGTGGAAATGTGCTTTTTCCTAGACTGCCTGGTTTGTCTGGCTCCTCAATTCAGGCTCCCATGTCCCCTACATCTGTGGTGCCAGGACTTCTGAGAAAGTGCTGGGGAGCTGGGCACAGTGGCACATGCCTGTACTTCCAATGACTCAGGAGGCTAAGGCAGGAGGATCACAAATTTGAAGCCAGCCTCAACAATTTAGTAAGACCCTTCTTCAAAATAAAACAAAAGAGCTGGGGATATAGCTCAGACACTGAGTACCCCTGGGATCAATCCCCAATACTGGGGGCAGGGAGAGAGCAATGGGGGAAATATCCTTCTACTATGACTTATTAACCAAAAGAGGCTGTCCCTCAGAGAATATATCAATCTCTCTCAAACGCCAAACTGAGGAATAGTTGTAAATCTGATTATGCGCCCCAGTCAGATCTCAGTTCCAGGGAATCATCTGGACAAAGGCTGAGTCAAGACTGTTCCCCTAGGCAGAGTGTGGTGGTTCAGGCCTATGCCTCCCCTCCGTGCAGGTGGTGGTGGTGCATGCCCATAATCCCAGTGAGTTGGGAAGCTGGGGCAGAAGGATCACAAGTTCAAAGCCAGCCTCAACAACTTAGTGAGACCCTGTCTGAAAAAAATTAAATTTAAAAAGGCTGGGGATGTGGCTCAGTGGTAAAGCACCCCTGGGTTCAATTCCCAGTACCAAAAAATAAAAAAGGACAGAAAAAAAGAAAAATGGTGGTCTCCATTAAGAGCTGACTTGGCGGGGTCGGGTGGGGAGTTGGTCAGGATATTCCTGTGGGGAAAAGTGGGAGGCTTCTGAGGTCCAGTCCAGGCTGCTCATTGCTTCTCAGCCTGACCGTTCATATTGGGATACCATAACAGAATAACAAATATACATTTAATGGGGATGAAAAGTGTTGTGAGATTAGGGAAGAGGAGGAACAGTAGTTTTTTTCTTTATTCAAATACATTTAAGGAAAGGGGGCTGGTCATGGTTATTTATACAACTGCCACTACATCCTGGATAACCCACAATGTGCCCCAAGACTCCACAGGCAGCACACCATTGTGCCCTGGGACACGCCTGAGGGAGCAGGGCCTCCCCAGACCCCACAAATGCCACAGGTGGATTGTTGGAACAGCTGCCCGCTCCTCGGCTGTTCAGCTGAGTCACTGGGACTCCAGGCTGCTAGCACTATGGTCTCTGTCATCTTCCTGTAAGACAGGTGCAATGTTTTATCAGCTCTCTGCCTCCTTCTCATTTCCAGTGCAAATGCAAACCAAGAAAAGCAGGAGCTTTCAACGCCCAGGCAAATCAATGCTGCACAAATCGGGAGAGACAGCCTCCCAAAATCCAGGCAAGAAGTCCCTTCCATCCAAGTTATCAGGATAAAAGCCAACAGAAGCCTCTGAGGCCACCTCAGTCCATCCACCTCTCTCGGTTGATAAAGGGACAGGGCCCAGAAGAAGTGACTCACCTGAGGTCACAGAGTAAACAGAGACAAGAACCTGACTGACTGAATCTGATCTATTTGTGTCCACCTGAGGATCTCATGTAGAGGCAGCCACTGGCTACCCCCCCTCACCAGAGCACCCTTGTGCAGAAACAAGTAGCTACAGAAGCATGGACCAAGGTTTGGGATGAAAGCTAATGGCTAAAAGGACCAGCCCACAGCTTTCCCATCACACTCTGGTCAGACACAATTGACCAAGTGAGAAGGGCTCTGTGATGCCCCAGGGTCTCTGGATCACCAGCTCCTTCTAAGTGACCCAAGAGGTGATCTTGTTCTAGAACATTCCAGGCAAGGCAGGACCCCTCCCCAACTCCCTTGGAGAGAGTATGTCAGGGAGTGCAGTTCCTGGTAGAGACAGAATGCAGGCTTTCCTCATTTAACCCATAAGTCCCATTCCACCCCCCTGAAAGAACACAAGCAAGTAAGGTCTTCTCTCCATCTTTTAAACCAGACAGCTGTTCTCAGCCATCCCTCAATCACCTGGGGGTATCATGTAACCCAATCCTTTGGCCCTTCAGTTTGGATATGCCCTGGCATGTCACTGCCCTCCAGGCTCGCTCTCACCAGACAGGGGAATTTGGGGAAAGGAGGTCACCCTCCTGCAGGATCTGATGTGATATGAAACACTCTCCCCTCTTCTCAGCTAAGACTGAAGCCCAGCTTCTATTTGCTCTCCCACCCCTCTTGGTGCGTTTGCCAACTCCATCTGTAGTTGTTGATGCCACCATCTAGAGACTGACACCCATGCATCAGGGCAGAAAGTGAAGTTAAAGGAATCGTCTTCCTTTTTGTTCAATCTGTCACATCAGAGCATTTCCGGTGTGGCAGGCCCTGTGCTAGGAGGCAGAGAGGAACCACATCCTCTATTTCCATCTTATAGGAAGACTGTGCACCCTCTTCCAGCAATGGGAAGAGTTGAGAAGCAAGCCCAACTCTGGAAAGCAAAGCAAGGGTGATGGAGGGCACAAATGGAAACGAGGGGACATCTGAGCCAGGCCTTGAAGGGTGAGCAGGATTTCCCGGCAAATGAAACTAGCAAGGCCAATCAGGAAGTGACTCCAAGAGCCTGGTAACAAGTGAGGAGGGTCTGGAATGGAAGGGCAACAGATGTGTTACCAGCTGGAATAAGTGACCAATTAGGTACAAGGACAAAAGAAAAGGGGGGCATTCCTAAGATGGTGGCCCATAGCCCATAAATGAAGAGAAAGGTGGCAGAACAGTCAAGAGTGAAGGTCGTGCTCCTGCCCAATTCTGCCACTAGCTGGGGGGGGGGGGGGGTGACCCTGGACTTGTCACTTCTCCTCTTGGACCCCAATTTCCTCATCTACAGAAACAAGGAAGTCTCATTAGATTTTTTTAAATATTTTATTTTTAGTTATAGATGGACACAACATCTTTATTTTTTACTTTTGTCTGGTGCTGAGGATCGAACCCAGTGCCTCATGCATGGTAGGCGAGCGCTCTACCTCTGAGCCACAACCCCAGCCCCTCATTAGATATTTTCTAAAGTTTCTTCAGCTGTACTGTCTACGTCACTAAAGCACTACTGAGGCAAAAGTAGTCTGTGTAAGCACTTGCTATCATATCTCTCCTCATCAGGGCACCCCCAACCTGGCAGGCTCTAAATCCTTTGGCTCAGAGCCTCTGGGTAATCTGCTTTGCCTCATGGAAATAAAATCCCCTGAGGAGCACTCCTGTAATCCCAGCAGTTTAGGAGGCTGAGGCAGGAGGATCTGAAGTTCAAGGCCAGCCTTAGCAATTCAGGGAGACCTTGTCTCAAAATGAAATTAAAAAATAAAAAGGGCTGGGGGTGTGGCTCAGTGGTTAAGCACTCTAGGTTCAATTCCTGGTACCAATCAAAACAAAACAAAACAAAATCCCAAAGACAAGGATGATAGCTACTTTAAGACCTCCCAAAGGCCAGTCAGGTGTCCCCCAGCCACCGTGGTTAACTGCCACCAAAGAACCAAAGAGGAAAGCCACGCACTTTCTCTCACATGTACACAGGTACCTACCTTCAAGTGCACACAGTCCACCCCATGCCCGTCACCCCAGGTCACTGAGCTGACCAAGACACTGGAAACTGACCAAGGCAGTGAAAAGCCCATACACACACCATGAAATGACAAGGATTGATTCCAGACTGGCCTGCTCTCCACAGGAGCAAGTCTTTTTGAGGGCTGATCCTGTGCAGGGAAAAGTGCAGAGGCAGAGGCATGTGAATGTGCCTTGACCTCAACTGAAACAAAAGGAAACAAAACCAAGGTGACCAGGAAAGGGAGTTGTGGGGGCAGATGGGTAGCCAGAACTCTGGGGCACCAAGTGCTAGGTACTACCCTGGACCATAAGAATAATGGATACACCAGGCTGAGGAAGAGTGCTGGGCCTGCTAGTTGCTCTTGAGAAGTTGCCTATCCAATTGACCCTGAAAGTTTCCAAACTGCTTCCCGGGAGGATTCCAGGACTCTGCTCTAAGCAGCCCTTTGGAAGGCTGACTACATTCTAACAGCCTACCTATTCGTGCAGCTTGATAAGGAATTAATGCCAAAGTGGTCAATTCATTTTAATAAATTAAGGAACTTGCAGAGGCCCCAAGGAAGCCAAGGCAGAGGCCTGCAGTGGACTTTGGAGCTGACTGTAATTAGGCCCCTGCCCTACTTTCTAAAATTGCATTTCCCTGCCAGGAAGCCTACTCCAGGCCTCAGAAGAAAGTCAGTCCGAGGAGTCAAGAAGGTGCTGTTCATGGCGAGGGCATCTCTAAAAACAGCTCTACCACCTGAGAAGTTGTATCCCTGCCCTTGGCCTTAGCTTACTGGGCTAATTCCTGCCACCACAGCTGCCCAGACTGGCATAAGCACCACAGACCCCCCCTTCTGCAGAGCCCAAGAGAAAGGCCCTGCTCTCTGGAGGCAACAGGTGCTGAGAAACAAGGAATGCAAAGGATCACCAGCAACCCACCAGCCTTTCAAAGTCAAGCTGGTAGGGGCCAATAATGTTAGAGGTGTTGAGACCTGTCTGTGTTCTCAGTAATGGTGGCCACAGAGGTGGGTGGGGGGATCCCAGCCCCCAGTCAGAAGCCCCGTGCCAAGCCTCACTCCCCTCGTCACTCCTTCTACACACTGCCAGCTTCCTACCCCCAGAGCAAGGAGGTGATGGGGGCCAACCAAAGAAACAGCAGTCTGGCTGTGCCTTGTAGCCCATCCTTGAAGTTGACAGGAAGTTCTGGGACCACCAGAGCCTGGGGAGTATGGACCCCAGTGAAGGGGAGGAGTGGGCAGGCTCAGCACTGCAAGATGCTCCTCCCTCTGCTGTTGGAGGCACTTCCTGAAGGCCACTGCAGCTGCAGGGGCTCTCTTCTCCAGCTCTCATCTGGGACTGCATCCACAAACCTGCAAGACCGCTCACCTTTCCTTCAGGGCAAGACGAGGGCTAGGAGCAGTCAGTGGGCAAGTTGGGCCCACCCTTGTGCTAGGCGAGCCGAATCGGGCCAAGAGGCTTCCACAGGGGAAGGATGCGACAAAGCTGTGGTGGAAAGCAGCAGGCTTTCCGCCCCAGAGACCAGGCAAGGAAGGCTTCCAGGCAAGGGACAACATGTGGCTCCCACGAGGGAGGGGGCAGAGGCCACCGGTGCATCAGTCATGCCTGCAGATAAAGGCGCCTCTCAACTAACAAGGTTTTGGGGGAGACAGAGGGAGGGGATAATCACTGCCTCGATCTCCCAGAAGAGGGGAGGCACAGGGCTACCTGGTGAGGGAAAATGGATCCACCTCATCAACTGCAGCGCACCAGTTTAGGAAAAGAGGCTATTTGCGGAGAATAAAATACTGCAGAACTAAATGCCAAAAGGGGAGGTGACACAGCCACGGTTCTATTGGTCCCCAAGGCCCCAGCGGCATTACCCAGGAGGCGGTGTCCAGCACAGCTCGCAACCCCCCCCCCACCCCCGCTGGATTAGGCTCCTGAAACTCTGCCCCTCAAGAGCGCTTCCCTCCGGCTCTCCAGAGACAGAACGGATCCATAATCCAAAAATTGTCATTTCTCCTGAATGGGCATAGACATTAGGGATGAGGAAGAGCGGAGCGACCAAGAGAGGGGGGAGGACTCCGGCTGCGCCAAGGGGACACCTCCGCCCGCCATCCAGCCGGCGGGGGTAAGGGCGTACGTCTGAAGTCACCATCGGTGGCGACACCACCTCCCCCTCACCAGTTGACTACAGGGTTTCTCCCAAGTAACGAAAAAGCAACCCTCAAACGCAGGAAAGTCCGGGGGTGTAAGAACAGGGGGAAGACGAGGGAAACGAAGAGAAGGCAGGTAGTGCAAAGGAGAGAAGAAAGCACATCAGCGAAGGAGACGGAAAGATGGGACGAATGGGAGAGAGAAGAGGGAAAGCAAGACGGAGGAGGGAAGGGAGGAGAGCAAAAAATGGGGAGGGAGGGAAGAGGATGGTGAGGGAGGAGATGGAAGGAGGGAGGAAAGAGGAGGGAGAGGAGATGGAGGGAAAGATTCGAAGACCCAGCGGGCTTTGCACTCACCCGTGTTGTACACGTGCAGTTCGTCCACTATCCCTTCGTTGCCGCCACCAAACACCACGATGAGCTCCTTGATGGCCACGGCGCGGTGGCCGTGGCGGGGTCGGGGCACCGGACCCGACCAGCCCACCACTCGCTTCCAGCGGGGTTGCAGAAGCACCGCTGGCGAGTTGGCGGGCGACACGGCCGAAGCCATAGTTCCAAGAAAGGGTGCGGTGGGAAGAAATCACCAGGCGGGAAGGGAACCCCTCAATTCCTCTCACACACCCCCCCTTTCGCCTAAGGCAGTTCTCACGGAGAAGCGGTTCCTCACACAGCGGTGGACGACTCCATGGAGGCCGCCATCTTAACTACCCTCCTTCCCTTTGGCTCTTCCCCTTCTTCTCGCTCGCCCCGTCTCCCCAAGAGCTTCCCGAAACTGTCAACTACCTAAGCCCGAGAAGCTGGTGGCCGTCGAGTTCTGCCGCCCTGACTATTTGTTCGGGTGCTCCCGCTTACAAGCTCGGGCGGGAGGCCCTGGGAGCCGCCATCTTGAGCCGCCTCTCTCTCCTCCCTTCCTCAGTCGTAGCCCTCCCCCGCCGGAAATGGCGGAACCCCGGCCCGGTTCCCACACCCCCAAGTCCCCAGCACTGGCCGGCTTCCGGGGCGGGTGGAAAGGAGCCACAAGCGCCGCGGTCGTCTCAGCCCCGCCGGCGCTCAGACCACAATTGTGGGAGCCGCCATCTTGAGACTGTCCCGCTTCCCCGCCTAGCACTTAGTACAGCTGCCGCTCCCGAAACACCCCCGATTCTCCTAAGGAATGGAGTCACGCCGGAGGCCAGTGGAACCAGCTCGAACTCTCCGGGGCGGCTCCGAGGCCCGCACCGTACGGCTCGTGAGGTCTCGCACCTCTCTGTTGAGTCCGCCTCCGCTGCTCAGGCTGCGCCTGCCGCCCTGGGAGCCGCCATCTTGAGACTAGCTCCCCCTTCCCCCCTATTCTCTTCCTCCTTGGTCAGTTCTTCTACTGCAGACCAAATGCAAAGCAGCGTCCAATCCTCGCTTCCCTCCTTATGACTCCTTCCCACAGGAGCCGCTCCAAAGAGCCAGAGTTAGGCCCCGAAGTGGCAACTGTACGGCAGGAGGAGCGGTAACGGCAGGGCGCTCATGCCTCCTCCCTGGGAGCCGCCATCTTGTGTAAAGAAGTAACAACTAAACATGGCGGCGGCGGTCGGGCGAGGGGGTGGAGTCTGGCGACGTCACCACTCCCCCGCCCTCACACGGCTTCGCCTCTGGGCTCCAGCCTCTTAAAGGATCCCTGCGCTCCCCTGCGGCGGGAAGTGGGGATTGGTGCCGCTGTGCATTCGGCTAGGGCTCTAGCCTCGCTTGGGTTAGGTGCAGACTCATCCCACCCCACGGCTCCCCGTGAGCGCGCCTCCACGCCTCCGCCCTGGGAGCCGCCATCTTGCCACTTCCCCTAGCCCGGCCGTCCCCGGGCGTCAATAGCGACTTTCAGCACAAAACAAAGATGGCGGCGGCATCTGGAGATGCCCGGATGAGAGTGGTAACTCCCTCAGACTCGCTGGGCCCCGCCCCTCTTGGGAACTGTCTCCCGGGTCGCAGAAGGGACACGTGCCCGAGGAGTTGCCTTAGACATGCAGGGGGAGGGTCGTGAAGAGAAACCAGTGCAGTGGTGCCTCCAACCGAGGAACAACCATTTTCCCGCCCCGCACTGTCGTAGGAGGCGGCTCGAGACCGGCCACCGAGGGAGCCGACGGGGCGGGGCAAGAGTGGGCGGTTACACGGCTGAGAGCCCGGCGCCCAGGGGCGGAGCCGCCGCCAGCTCCCAGGCTCCCAGGCCCGTCAGCTCCGCCCCCGGGCGCCACCACCTCCTCCCGCGCCCAAGCGAAGAGCCGAGCCGCGCGCCCGGGGGCGCCTTGCGTCGGGCCGCCCCCACCGTTCCTCCTTTGCCCCGCCAGCCACAGGGTGGGCAAACGGGCTGGCTGCGTCCGAACCAGGCGGGCGGGAGTTGCCTGCGTCATTCGCGTCACCTCACGTCACCCCGCCCCGCCTGCTTCCCAGGGCTCTGAGCCCCGCCCCTTGCGCAGGCGCGCGGCAGCTTTCGGGTCCGCCCTTTTTCGAGATTTGAATTTCCCCCAGCGAAGCGAGGGACGCAAAGTACCCGGATGGTGTTTGCTGGACTTTTCGCGCCAATACCGTAAATTCTCACAACAATTCTGAGAGCTGGGTACCGGCATCGCCCGCCCGTTCCAGATTTCCCAGGAGGCGCCCTGGGGGCTTCAGCGTCATCATACTCATTGCCTCTCGCAGGCTCTAACGCAAGGGTCCTGAACCCTGGTGTCCTGAACTTTGGAGCCAGACACATGATGATTTCTTCACTTTAGCATATCTTCATTTTAACTTCTTTTTAATATTCTTTTAAAAAATTTTTTAGTTGTTCATAGACCTTTATTTTATTCATATATTTATACGTGGTGCTGAGGATTGAACTCAGTGCCCCACACATGCTAGGCAAGCGCTCTATCACTGAGCCACAACCCCAGCCCCTTCATTTTATCTTTATTTTCACTAACCTGTAGTAGAAATTGACATTTTCCGAAATTACAGATACAGGCAGCAGTGCAGAGTAGCAGCCACATCTGTGACTTGAAGGAAATTGTACATCATTTCAGATCCTATAGCCGTTTTGTAGAGGTCCAGAAGTTAAGTAATTTCAAGATTTATCAACAGACTAACTCTGAAGTTACTATATTAGCTTCTGGTAGATCTCGTAATTTAATGTGCTAGTAAAGAAGCACCTATATTACCATATCACACTTTTTCCAAAATATTGTAATGATCCTCTTTTGACAAATAATTTGGCAGTTCTATTATAGTTTATGCAGTTGAAAGCACTCATTTAAGAAACTCCAAGGTATAATCCATTTATGTATGATGTGTCAATATGCATTCTATTGTCATGTATAACTAATTAGAACAAATTATATATATAATATATATATATATATATATATATATATATATATATATATATATATATATATATAAATATAAATGAAAGTCCAAAGATGCCAGGCACAGTGACTCACACCTGTAATCCCAGCAACTCAGGAGACTGAGGCAGGAGGATTGCAAGTTTAAAACCAGCCTCAGCAATTTAGAGAGGCCCTAAGGAACTCAGCAAGACCGTATCCCAAAATAAAATGCTTTTTTTTTTTTAAAAAAAAAGGGGGGGGGGCTGGGACTGTGGCATGACCCTGGATTGATTCACAGTAACCAAAGGAAAAAAAGTTCAGAGCCAGAACTGTTATGTACCCCTGTAATCCCAGCAACTCTGGAAGCTGAAGAAGGAAGACCACAAGTTTGAGGCCAGCCTCAGCAATTTAGCAAGACCCTGACTCAAAACAAAAAAATAACAAAAGGACTGGGGATGTAGCTCAGTGGTAGACTATCCTTGGGTTCAATCCCCAGTACTCACCCCCTAGCCCCCCCCCCGAAAAAAAAAGAAAGTCTAAAGAGGTCTAAGGCACAGCAAAAGAGAAAAGCCCACACTTAAGTGACTTTGTTACCAACTGTTCTCTATGACATTGGGCAGTTTGCCTCACCTCTCTGGTTTCAATCCCTTCCCTAGTAAAATAAAGAAGTTTGAGCTGTTGATCCAAGGGCCTTCCCTAAATTCAGCATGTTTCTTTTCCAAATTCAGGAACCACTATAGTTGTTCTGTGCTGCTTAGGCCTCTCAAGTTGTCCTGCAGGGTGTTTTAAATTATATCCCCTTATCTGCAGAAAGATAGCAAGGAGTGTCTTGGGGGCACAACAAATAGTTTTTGGAAATGCAAGCAAAGAAACAGTAGTGGCTTCTTGTTTTTTTTTTTTTTTTTTAATCTTATTTTTTTTTTGGTGGGGTTCTTTTTTTTTTTGTCTTTTTTGGAACTGGGGGTCGAACCCAGGGCTTTGCGAATGCAAGGCAGACGCTTTGCCACTGAGCTACATCCCAGCCCCAGTAGTGGCTTCTTTATCTTGTTTCTTTGCTTGGAGATGGCATCAGCTGCTGCTTAAGTGCATACAGCCACCGAAGCAGGAGGGTCTATGGATCACATGTTTTATGGAAGAAAACCTTTGGCTGGGAGATTGTTACACTTTGCAGGTATTTCCAAAAGACCCCTGGCCCAGGGCCAGGGATGTAGTTCAGTAGTAGAGTGCTTGCCTGGAATGCATGAGGCCCTGGGTTCAAACTCCAGCACCATACACACAAAAGAAAGATACCAAAAACCTAAGGTCCGAATGCTGTTGAGCCTTCAGCCTTCTTCTGCCAGTTGCCAGGGGAAACTATGATGAGCTGTGTATGGTAGAACAAGGCCATGCGCTTCAGGGTTATACCATAAAGTAACCAGCCTGGTTTTCCTGTGGAGCTTGGGCAGTTGGTATGATTACATGTCACTTTCGGCTTGGACTCAGGTGGACTCTGCCCGTATACGAAGAAAGAAGAGTTGCTTTCCACACCCTTCCTGGATTTCCTTCGTTATTAAATTGACAGTATTGGACTCCTATCCCCAGCCTGCCACCTGGCTTGTTGAAAGACAGGAAAATCTGACTAGTTCATGCATCATGGGGCTCTAGATGGGTGCAGGGAGGGACCCAGAGACACCAGGCAGCTCCTCTGCTAGTGTCCCAAGAGTGGAATGGGGGAAGTGACAAGGAGGAAATGACAGCCAGGTTGAGAGTATAAGCAGGCCAGGAGCATTGGCCAGGTGCAGAGGGCACAGGGCTTCCAGACCTACAAAGTCTTGTTCTGGCTGGAAGACAGAGCTGGCCCTGAGGGACTTGCAGGACTAGATGCAGATGGCACTTTAAGTCTGGCCTAGAGGTTGGACATGATTGTGGGGAGCCAGTCACTGAAGGGTATTAAGCAGGGACAGACATGATCCAATCCAGGAGTACTTGAGGATGATGTGTACAGACCACGTTAGCAGTGGCTTGGGGGTCAGAAGTCCAGAATAGGTGGCCTCCAGACCTGGAGTCTCCTAGGCTGGAGAGGAGGGGACAGGATGAGTCTGGGATACCCCACACTGAGATGGGAAGCTTGTGTGATGAAAGAGGCAGATTCAAGCTAATGGCTTCAGTTCCCTGGTGGGAGTTTGAAAGGGCAGTGGGACATGGGACACCCCATGCCGGACCTGGTAGTCCTCCTTAGCATCGGATCCCCAAGGGAAGAAAGCTCAGCATCCACATGGGCCCCCAGGTCCTATTGTAGAAATGAAAGAGCAAATAGGACTGGTAAGAAAGAGCAAAGCTTTGTACTTATAATATAACTGAATAAAACTGAGCAGGTTTGGGACAGAAGCACCAGAGGAAGAGCAAAGTGTTTGAGCCTTGCCTCACTATTTTGGGTATCCTTGCCTCAACTGCAGGGAGGAAGATGGATATTGTACCTCAAAAATATATGCTACTGCTGGGTGGTGCACACCTGCAATCTCAGCAACTTGGGAGGCTGAGGCAGGAGTATTGCAAATTCAAGGCCATACTCAGCAACTTAGACTCTAATCAACTTAGCAAGACGCTATCTCAAAATAAATAACAACAACAACAACAACTGGGGATGTACCTCAGTGGTAAAGTGCCCCTGGGTTCAATCCCCAGTACCAAGCCCTCCCCAAATACATTGTACTAAGTGATCGACAAATACAAGAACTCATTCTGGCACTGGAAGTGTAGCCCAATGACAGAGTGCTTACCTAGCATGCACGAGGCCCCAGGTTCCATCCCCAGCACAAAAACAACACAAAACAAAAACTCACTTCATCCTCACAACCACCATGCAGGGAAGGTACTTTCCCACTTCTCCACTTCACAGGTGAGCAAACTGAGACCCAGAATGGTTCTGACCCAAGGTCACATGGCTAGTGAGTGAAGGTGCCAGGGCTAGAGGGCAGACAGTCTGGCATAGGTACCAGGAACTTGAGGCCCTGTCTTGTCTCTCCTTTGTGTCTGCTTTCTTGGCTCTGAGTCATGCTCAGAGCATTGAACCTCTTTTCCCTACAGTATTAGTCCATTTCTTTTGACTAGGCTAACTCACACTACAGCTGCTCCAAAGCACTTGGCAGCCAGTGACATTTAAGTTTTTCTGGCTCCATCACTGCAAGGAATTGGAAGATTTTGTCATAGGTGAAGGAAACAAGGTGATTTGCAGTGTAGCATTTCAGGAGGGGCAGGAGGGAAAAGCCTCGTCTTCCTCTAGCTCTGTGCCCTAGAGTCTAGAACTTGGACAGCATCTGATGGTCTCTAATTCATCTAGGTGTTTGGTTAACAAGGCTTTTGGGCTGACCTGGAAACTTCCACATTTATAACCCTACTGAGCGGGGAAAGCCTGTCCTGAGTTGTAACAACAGATATAGGAAAGGAAGTCTCCAAATGGGGTGGCTTTTATTTATTTATTTCTGATGAA